CAACCACTGGAAATACTTGGACTGTTGTCAGCAGATGACAGGCACAACTATAGAGCACTGGTAGCGGCTCTAGAACTCAGATATGGAACCCAAAATCAGTCTGAAGTCTACAGGGCTAGGTTTAGGACGAGAGTCCGTGCTAAAGGGGAGAGCCTGCAAGAGCTGGCACAGGATTTGGAAAGTATGGCACCCAAGGCCTACCCAACTGCACCACCCGATTTCCTCAAGCTGTTGCTGAGGGATCAGTTTGTAGAGGCCTTGGACAGTCCACAACTAAAGATACAAGTGAAGCAAGCACACCCCGTTACTATGAAGGTTGCAATGGCCAGAGCTCTTGAATTTGAATCCTACATTAACTCCAGCCAGAGGTACCAAGGCTGGTACAGCCATCAGGATTCAAGACCAGAAAAGGGCAGCATTCAGAGAGGTTTGAGGGACTTTGCTGGCACTGTAAGAAACCTGGGCACAAGAGAGCTCAATGCTGGCAACTTCAACACTGTGAAGATGCCACAGCAGGAAAGGCTGCTACCCAGAAAGTTGTTGGAACTGTGGAGAGCAAGGACATATGAGGAGCCAGTGTAAGAAGAATATTACCAATAAGTCAGCCTCGAGGAAACCAGTAGTGGTTGGTGTTGAGGGATGCCCACCAACCCCCATCGTGAAAGTCCCAACAGCAAGGTGTAAAATACCAAGCACACATAATGTCTACGTGACAGGAAAGCTGGATGGCCAAAGGTGCAACCTTGTCATAGATTCTGCATCTCAGTAAACCCTCGTGAGTATCAAGATGTTAGATCACAAAGGAGTACCAGAAGCCATATAGAAGCTCTGTGGTGTGACAGGACATTCTGCAAGGTTGTGGGGACCAGTGTGGGTAACTATTGAGCTCATGAGCATAAAGGACAGACACAAAGTATACTTGGCTGACATTGAAGACCCATGCACATTAGGGTTGGACTACTTACTACAGAGGAAGTGTGTAATTAACTTTGATAAAAAGACGTTTGGGAACAACAAAGGCCAAATTCCGATAAGTATTAAAAGAGAGGTTGAACTAACCAGGTGTCATCAAGCTGAAGTCAAAGTGACTGAAGGAGTTGATAATGGTGAAGTGGAACCAGGTATATATATTAAACCAGAACAGGAGAAAGATCGAGATTTGAAGCCAATAATTGATTTTCTAAAAGCAAGTGTTTTTGCACCCTGCTTGGGAGAAGGTGTCTAGTCTAAGCCCTGTGACAAAGAACTATTGGGCACAATGGGACCAGTTGAAGCTTGAAGATGGTATTCTTGTCCAGAGAGGGGAACTGCAGATGGGAAAGTAACGACCTGGCAAACAGTTATACCAAGAAAGTTACGGGAAGTTGTGATGCGTCAATCTCATGATAGTTTAACAGAAGGACATCTCGGAGTTAAGAAGACATTGAGTCACCTACGAAAGAGATTTTACTGGATATGTATGAGGCAAGATGTGGTAGAATGGTGCAGAACATGCAGTACATGTTGTGCTAAAAAAGGGACCCAAGCATAAAAGACGTGTTCCAATGAAGTTATATCAAGTTGGTGCACCAATGAAAAGAGTAGACATTGCTTGTCCTTTGCCCCAAACTCGTGCAGGAAACAAGTACATTTGTGTGGTGATGGATTATTTCACCAAGTGGCCTGAGGCATATGCAATAGCAAATCAGGAAGCTATAACTGTAGCTTCAGCTATTATTGATTTCTTCTACAGATTTGGTATGCCATACGAACGGCATTGGGTTAAGGCCGTAACTTTGAATCAGCTGTGTTCCATGAATGCTGCAAGTTGTTTGGCATACGAAAGACCAGAAGAATTCCA